AATTACATAAATACCAATACAACATTAACAACAACACCTTCAACATATTTTATATCTGAAAACGAAAAGGCTGTAAACGCCGCAGCTGCTTTGTTTAGTAATCAAACTGAGGTGAATTATTTAATTTTTAGTTTCCGGAGATGTGAATATTTTAAATTTAATAGAATTTAGTTTCCAGTAGACATAGGTATTAAATAGCTATGCTTCCTTCCCCTAGCCCTCCAACTTTGCTATAATTTTAGTAAAAATGGCAAAATAAATTTTTACCAATAAAGGAAAGAATCCTTCCCGAAATACACAAAAAAATAAAAAAAAATTTTTTATAGAATTGCTCTCTTTTACAAAATCCAAACTTTCATTACACCAATAAAAACAATCAACAACAACGGCAATATTCCCAACAACAACAAAATCCCCGACATCATCAAAGAATTATAGCTGCCCAAAATAATAATCCAAGTAGTGGGACAATACATTTGTGGCATTTTATAAGAGAATTGCTTGATAGGCCGAAAGAGTTTGAAGGATGTGTTCGTTGGGTTAATAGAGAGGAGGGTGAGGGAAATGACAATTTTTATTATTTAAAATGAAAGTGGAAATCCCCTTCCATAAGAGGATTCGGATATGATTTAACTATCAATATCAAATAAACTAAATGTTTTTTATTTTCTTTACAAAATTTAGAATATTTAACAATTTTAAAATGCCAAAAAATATAATTTTAAGGAACATTCAAGATCGAGTCTTCCCATCACCTTGCCCGGTATTGGGGCATTCGTAAAAATCGAGCAGCAATGAATTATGATAAATTGAGCCGCTCATTGAGACAATATTACAAAAAAGGAATTATTCAAAAACCAGAGAAGAAACAACGCTTAGTTTATAGATTTCTACCCCCATACAATCATTAAATAAAATTAAATAATTTATTAACTATTTATATATATTAACGTTAATTTACCCAGCAAATATATTATCTAATATACCGTATTGTCTCTATTACAAGCCCTGGGCTTCTATTTTTCAATACACCTCATTGGGCGGGCTTCTATTAGGGCATGGGCTTCTATTGGAGATGGGCTTCTATTAGAGACAATACGGTATATTTTAAAAATTTTAAAATGTAGAGGACAAAATTTAACTAGAGAAAGGACATGAGGATCGAGATTTTGATAACTTGTCCTGAACTGATCACTGGAATATTTCTCTTAGCACAGTTGTAGCCCTTAACCTTAAAATCTTTAGTATTTAACTCAAGCCCTTTCTCTGGATTCTCAAATCCCTTCCCAAGTATGAATTTTATTTAAATCATTATGTGATAATTTTATGCAATAATAAAGTAATACAATGTGCTTCTAAATAATTTGTTTAAAATAGAAATTGCGCATTGAATGGTGTCATTATACACATGGTGATTTTAAATACCGTAAATGCTTCAATATAAGCCCTGGGCTTATATTTTTCAATGGGTCATTTTACTGGGCTTATATTAGAGACTAGGCTGCGTATTCCGTACCATACTACCGATATAGAATACCTACAGTGCGGTACGGTCCGACTATAAACAACAACAATTCCATCGGTCCTGCTTTACTTCACCTACATATGTGTATTGAACTCTGGGCTTTTTTGTAAATTAAGTTCCCCAAGATAGCTCTATTGATTTGAAATTACTCTAGTTTAAAAAATATTTATAAAAATTTTTAAGTTACAGAAAAACTACTAGATTGTCTACGATATTTTTGAAGAAAAAAGTGATAGAGGATTTGTGATTGAGAATTTTATTTTAAAATCTGGGTTATTTTATTTGACTTTAGTTTAATATACTACAGACATCTCCTGAACAATAGAGTGGTTGTTGATTTTTGTGTCTTTTTTGTGTCATTTATATCTTTATCCATTTTAAGTTCCTAACGAAAATAAACAAGGGCGAATTTTTGTAGTATTTTTTTAATTTGTTAATACCAAATTAACCAAATTAACTGAAACAAACGGTCATAACTTTGGCGAATCAATTCAGATTTCGTTAATTTTTGTGTCTTTCGACTCAGCTCGCCTAGCTCAATTCTGATACCCGTATCTCGCAACAAACAAAGCAAAACACTTTTTATTGTTTCTTTAAACATTTATATTTAATTTTTATTAAAAAATTTTTTAAATTATTGTAAATCAATACTCAATAAAGGGAGGGCAACATGACACGTTAACGTCGTCAATAAGCAAGAGGATTCATTAGTAAGCAAGAGGATTCATTAGCTAAGTCGCTATCGAAATTCTCTTTCATAATCCATTTTTTAGCTCTAATTTTTTTAAAATAGCTAAATTTAATAAAAAATAAAGTTTTGTTAATAAATGAAAGGTGGGAATGGGACTAAGAAAAAACATAATACATAATTCAAGGAATAAGCAAAGTAAAAGACACGCCAGAATATTAGTCAGTTTTCAGTTTATTTTCGATTGCAGGAAAATCGAAAGTTTACAGTTATTTTCGACAGTTTAACTATAATGTCCATAAGATTAACACAATATTCTATTTTTATTCCATTTAGTATGTACAGTAGTGGACATAAAGATAGGGACAAGAGTAATTTAAATGAAAATTAACTATTTTTCGGTCGAAAAATACGTTCTATATATCAATCGAAAGCTCTATTTATATCTCAGTTGACATGTTTCTGCATTTTTCATGAAATTGAAAATTGCCCGAGATAATCCGGATCTACCGGATATACCAAATCCTATATCCTCGGAAAAATTTTTCGGAAAAAATTTAACGAACCCATTTGATAAAGCATATTTTTGTGAGTACTTACCACAAAACCGCTTAGAAATATCTTTCTCCGGACCAGAGATATGATTTTTTGAAAATGGCATTTTTAGCCTATTTTTGCAAAAAATTCAATTTTTAAGCGAAAAATGCCATTTTCAAAAAATCATATCTCTGGTCCGGAGAAAGATATTTCTAAGCGGTTTTGTGGTAAGTACTCACAAAAATATGCTTTATCAAATGGGTTCGTTAAATTTTTTCCGAAAAATTTTTCCGAGGATATAGGATTTGGTATATCCGGTAGATCCGGATTATCTCGGGCAATTTTCAATTTCATGAAAAATGCAGAAACATGTCAACTGAGATATAAATAGAGCTTTCGATTGATATATAGAACGTATTTTTCGACCGAAAAATAGTTAATTTTCATTTAAATTACTCTTGTCCCTATCTTTATGTCGACGACTGTATATTCCCATTAAGTATGTATATTCCCATTATTAGTATGTATATTAGTATGTATATTCCCATTAATCCCTCTTTATCCACCTTAAGTTCTTAACGAAAATAAAGAAGGACGAATTTTTGGAGTATTTTTTTTCAATTTTTAATAACCCCCCTTTTTATTTCTTAATCTGGATCAGACCCAATTCTAATCCTAATAATTGACTGTTGTGAAATTAGATTTAATCTACAGACTTTTAATGGATACGGATATAGATAATTTCAAAATGCCTGCAGATATCCGCCTTAAAATCCGAATACGGATACTAAAATCCATGTTCATTACCAAGTCTGTTAATCTAAATGAGTAACTAAAGTATTATTTATTTAAAAAGGAAATGTCCATCAACAAATTCAAGGTGAAGGCTCTTCGGATCCTCAACAAATTCAAGGCGAGGGTAGCTCTTCAGATCCTCAAGGAGAACGAAAAGGGAAAAAAGCTAAATTATTTGGTGTTTTCTTAGATTAAAAGACAGGTATTTAGATATTCTGGATATAAGCTATGGGAGAATATTGAAAAACCCATTAGTCTGTTGTTTAGTCAGTTAGTTCGTCGAGAATAAGAGTGTCCCTTTCCAAATCACCAAAAGGGATCTTGGCTTCTCAAAAAGAGGGCAAAATCATCCAAGAAGGGGGCAAATGCCTCACAAACGAGTAAAAACCTAGGGTCAAGTAGAAGCTTTACTCTAATAAATCAATCAACTCTAGGTTCTTTTGTAAAATAAGTTCCCAAAATATGTACTCTCTTGAATTATATATTTTTTCGAGTTAAAAAAATATAAAAAATTTTAAGTTACAGATACTAGATTGTCTACGATATTTTTGAAGAAAAAAATGATAGAGGATTTGTGATTGGGAATTTTATTTTAAAATTGGGGTTATTTTATTTTTTTGTTAAAGCGGTACTCTACGGTTTGGGGTTTTATTTCGGTTTTTTACTCTCCGGTTTTGGGGTATTCTCCGGTTTTTTTAATTTCCTTTTATCAAAAAATTTTTTTTAAATCCTTATTTCCTTTTAAATTTTACACCTTAGAATGGATATTAAAAATAGAAAAAAGAGAAAATTTGTATTTTTTCGTATAAAACATGTCAAAAAACACTGGTTTATATTTAAAAAATTGGAAATATGCGAAAAAATATTTTTAAAAAATTACAAAAAAATTTTTTGAATAGCTGCATCAACTATATTAACTTAGGAATTTAGGGAAATAAGCAGAGTTCTTTGTAAAATTCTCCGAGGTAAGCGCAAATCAAGCGGCACAAAGCTTAGCTGACATCTATTAAATTAGAATCCATTTAAATTTATATTTTGATAATTTCAACAATAAATCTATTTTTGTTAAATTATAACTATGATACTTTAGTCCATGAACTTGGAGCTGATAATTCCGCTGGTAATCGAAGCCTGTAGAATGGAGTATACTCAAAATCTGGCAATAATCACGTTCTTGTGTGTGACGATGGCTAGGCAGCGTATGAAGGTTTAAACAACCTTCAGCAACAATATGATCATCGTTGGGTTAACCATCGAATATATTTTGTAAACCCTAGCGATCCAATAGTTTACACACAAGGAATGGAGGCCCCTCTTTATCTCACGCTCGGCCACTTACATAATTATTAACAAAAAATAAATAATTTAGAATAATTTCTTATATTTAAATAATAAAATCATATAAAAAATTTTAAATAAAATTTTAAGAAAAAATAAAAGGTTTTAAATAAATTATCATTTTGTTTCATCAGTAGTTGAAATGTTTCTGTTTCCAATACGAGGCAAATAACAGCGACGAAGAAATTCTTTTCGGTGTTGTTGTCGTTCAATCTGAAAATATATAAAAGATTTAGAAAGTAATTCGACAAGTCTCTCTATCTTGCTGATAAATTTTCGACTCTATTTATAAAAAATAGAGAGTGCATAAATATTGAAAAAAATAGTTAATAGGTTTTATTTTGAAAGAAAATCGAAAAGTAAAAATTGAAAGTATGTAAAAACCATCAAGGACACAAAAAACAATTTAAGATTTTTAAGAATTGGGTTAGCGCTAATCTGATATAGTTAAAGCTCTCGATTATGTTAACAACACCCTTCACTTCCTCTTCTTAAGAGATTGATGTCCCCTCCCTTCACTCCTAAGGTCGGCAAAATTCGGTCCAGAAGGTGACGTTTATAGAGTTTTGACTATAATAATTTTCTAACCTCCTTCCCATTCATCTTGATACAGAAAAACTGTTCATAAACATGTAAATGTAATCTAAGAGGTTGTATATTCTCAACATTAGATTCACCAGAAAATGTTTTAGGCACACAACGTTTCACAAGACCACAACGTCTCCAAAACCCATAGGATGAAGTAAAAATTTGAAAATGTTCAGGCTCCGTTGGTAAAAAACGAAAAAGAGCACATAGAACAGGAACGGCAAGTTTCCCTTCTGTTGTCGGAAGCAATTCAACAAAGAAATCACTGAAATTTTTAAGATTGTGTGGTCTGAATGAAGGTTTATTAAACTAAATTAATTTTCTCCAAAAAATGTCCTGGCGAACCCTTATAATTCAAATTTTACCCTAAAGTAAGAGACTGGATAAAGAAGAGTCGGGATCGAAATCTTGAAATATATCGATAACGATAAGATGTTTTTGTTCGAGATCTCTTCTCAGTCCAATCTCTACTTGCATAGAGAGTAGGTAAGGGGAGAACGGATAAATAAGTGTTCAAAATTGTCCTGCTAAAACCGGGGCATTGGCTAATTTTCCACTAATAGTGACAAACACAATTTGAATTTAAAGTATTAAGCTAAACATTTAGATGTTTATAAAAAATTTTATAAAATTGTTTGAATGACTTCTTAAAAATTATTCAATATTTTTTCTATTTTTTTAAACATTTCATCAAAGACATGTCAAAATTTTTCTTTATATGATTATTTTTTGCATTTATTTGTCATTATTATATTTTAATATTATTAAATAAATTGCCAAATAACCACATTTAATGCACTACGGAATGTAAGTATTTATCCCATTTAATAAAAAAATAAAAAGGTTAGCTCCAACATTTGTCCAAAAAAATTAATCAACAAAAATATTAACATTTAAAATATTTAAGGAAATATTTTGGCAAAATATCAAAAAATATTTTTTTAATGTTTTTAAATGCTTTTTTAATTTTTTTTTCGAAAAAATGTCATTAAAAAGCTTTTATGTGTAAGAATATTTTATTTGATAAAATTGGCCTTTGCAACAGGAAAAGGACATTTTTTGCAAAAGATGTTTTAATGCTTAAATTTAAAAATAATAAAAAAATTTAGGGTTTTAAAAATTATTTTCGAAGGAAACTACTAAGAAAAATCCTAAAGAAAAACGAAAGGAAAAACATCCAAAATTGAAATTTCGTTCCCGTTCAATTAAATTTATATAGTGTTACATAAACATACATACGTTCACCCCTATTTTTACAAATAACTCCAGTTGGAATTGTCGGATTTATTTCAAATTTTGCGAAAATATAACAAATTTGATTATAATTTGAGAAATAATACTCAAAATTTCAAAACAATTTGAAAAGCAAGTTTTTAAAAAATTGAACACCATTACTTTGGATGGTAATTGCTGATATATGTATCCTAGATTTTAACTAGATTTTTCAAAAGAAAAAGCTTCAGGGCTTCATGTGTAATACGCCCTTTCTGTCAAATTTTTCTAGCTCTTCTCGAAAGTTAGCTTAAACTTAAAACGAAATTCCCTCAACTGTCCTTATTTGCTTCTAAATAATTTTCCATTTCTATATAAAGAAAAACTTTTTAATGACTAATTATTAGGTTTAAAGTGACTCATTTAAATGAACCGGAACTTTGTTATAGCCAGATAATTAAAAATAATATATAAAACATTTAAAAAGCTTTTTAATAATATAATAAATTTTGAGTGGATACTAAGAAGTGGATACTAATAATATTTATTTCCCATATTTTTGTTGCTTTTTATGTTTTCGGTCTTTGGTTTTTCTGTTGACTAAAGGAATGAATTTATGACAACTCTATTTCACTTTTAAAAATTATTTTAAGAATATGTAGGAGAAATAAAGGAAAATAAGGAAATATTAAAAATAAATCTATAGCAAGACTGTAATCGTTTCTCAATACCCAAAATATGAAACGCGGCTATAGACAACTTTAATATGATTAGAGGATTCACGACAAGCACCCTTTAAAGGTATTAAAAACAACATGATATAACCTTTTAGTAAATGGTTCACATACTGTGGGATCACAGACTTAATGGACATGGGTCGAAAGCAATTAAAACTCCAACTCCAAAAATTACCTCAAAAATAATAGTGAATAAAAAATAAATAAAAAACGTATAAACGAAACTATTAAATATTATAATAAATTTCTCACTTTGTCTCCTCATTATGAGTTATTGAAAATTGGGCATTTAATAATTCAATATGGCAAAAACAACGAATTTCCACGTTTATTTGTTGTAAAAATTTATAATCGTCTGGAAAATCATTAGCTGCCCAAAAATATGGAGAAATAGGCGATTCTTGTTGGAGGGGTGAGGGTGGCAATAGAGGAGATAGAATGGAAGAACTAGATATTTCATAGCTGGGGATTGCAGCTGTAACAATAGAATTTGTAGCATTTATTGTTGTGGGTGAGAAAAGGGAAGTAGTAGCTGTCGAGGGCAGACATGATGGTGGAGTAAAAGAGGGTGGAAGCATTTGTGAGAGAATTTTTTGTTGTTTTAGTTTTGTGGGGTTGTTTCTTTATTTTTGTTTCCTTATTTTATATTTTTCCGTAAATTTTATTTTCTTGACAAAGAATGCTTTTTTCTTACAAATTATGTTATATAAAAATAAGGTCAAGGAAATTTAAAGGCACATAGCAAATTAGTGATGTGAGGGACACTCGAACTACTCCAATAATAATTGAGAGAAATAAAACTTTAAAACCGCAAGCAAGGAAAAAGAGAGAATTGGGCTATACTTCTCTACGCGGAAAGAAATTGGTGGAGTAAAACGAGATTTCTAAAAACATGGAAGGCGTAAATATGAGCTGATTTAATATATAAAACAATAAATTGGCGAGGCAAGATCGGAAATTTGTGTGGAGGAAAAATAGGAGGGAATCTTTGAGAGCTGGAAACTTTTCAAGAAAATTTCTAAGAATTTATAAAATAATTTTTGATAATAAATAATTTTAAAAAATATATAAAGCTTTTAAAATTTAAAAAAATAAATGAAATGAATAATTTCTAAACTTTAAATACATATTGGCAGGAAAAAAGAAACTCGTGCGGAACAAAAAAGAAAAGTGAACACCCACATTGCCTTGTTTAAAATTTTTTTACATTAAATGTGCCTGGTTGGCATTATTAGTTGTTTTATATAAGCTAGGGAGGAGGCATTTTAATGCGAGAAGAACATTTCTAAAAAACACAAAAAGGGCAAGGCAATTAGAGGCACGAAAAGGGTAAAACATCTCTCCACAACGCCCACTAAGCAAACAAATAATAAAAAAGAATAAAGGAAATGTGAATGGGAAAATGTTTTTTTATTTCAAATTTCATTAGAAAATTTGTAAAATTTTTATTATTAATTTGAAAAAATTTTGCAAAAAATTTTTTATTTAATGTCCTAATTGTTTAAATTAATATTGAGCTTTAATTCCGAAAGCTCCAGTATTTTAACTAATGGAAGATAAACGCAGGGAACTTTTTTTCAACATAATTTTATAAAGTTATGGCATAGAGACCTGACTGGTAAGGTATATGTATCTAGTAACAAGAATCGAGATCGATATCTCAAAAAATCTCGAAACGAGATTTTCTCGGTCTCAGATAGATTCAGACAAAAAATCGCCAAAGAAAATGAAACTCAGGAACAATTGAACTCTCAGATAGAATTTTTTTTGCCTAAAGAGTTAAAATTCGAATTTTAATATCAAGTCTCCAAATAGCCATTAAGTTAAGGAATCGGAAATTACATCTGACTAACCATTGAAGGAATGGGTGGAGTGTCGTTCTTCTCTTTCCCAAATAAAAATTTTAAATAAAAAATTTCTAAAGTTTTAATAAAGTACAAAAAATATTTTTCATCAAACATAAAAAAGAGAAATGCTTTATAAATAAAAGCATAATTAATACGTACATATAATTGGAAGGGAAATTTAATTAGAATGTTTAAATTCCAAGAAACATTCTAATATTCTTTTAAATTATAATTTATTCTATATAAAAATTAATTATAATTTCTTGGAATTAGATAAATTTTAATAAAAAATTAATATAAAATTTATAGATTTGTGTCTAAAAATTATAAATTTTATCTAAAATTTATAAAAATTTTTTATGTTAAAAAGGAATGTTTAGAAAAAAATAATATTTTTACCAAATTTTATTTACTTTCTTTAATTAAAAATAATTTAATAATAAGGTTTCTATTAATAAAAAAACGAATAAATAAATATTTCTTTCCTTTTATAAATTTAAATAAAATTATTAAAATAAAATAATTAATTAACTAAAAAAATAAATTTTTTATAAAAAATAAATAAAATTAATCAACAAAATTTGTTAGCAATGCATTAAAAGTGAAGGTGGCTATTTGTTTATAATCCTTTAAAATAATAAAACAATTTTAATTATTTAACTTCAAACACTAATCCCTCCACCTATCTAAATAATAATTTATTTTTTGCTTCTCGTTTTTAACATTTATTTTTAATTTTTATTTTGACAAAATTGAAAAATAAAAGCTGGGGAATAAAAAAAGGAATTAAAGTTTGTTTTTAATTTGATTTCCGGAGATATTGCTAACCGGAAGTGGAACACAATTTTTTTATTTTGTTTTTATTATTAAGAATTTTCTTAATTTAGAATTGCGCGAGGTTAGATTCTTCAAAAAATCACATTGAGATCACCGAGGTTGAGAAGACGAGATAAAAGCCGAGGGTTAAATTTAAGACGAGGTTTTAGGAGGAATTCCTAATCCTTTCAATTCACTGTTTAGAGAGAAAAAAACTTCGATAAAAAACTACGAGTACAAACTACGATTAGTTCAAACATGTGCAAAATTACGATTAGTCCATAAAAGAATTTTGGATAGACAGTTTGAAAAATTCAACGAAATAATTTTTATTTTAAATTAATAATATGACCTAGTTTTATTGCAATTTGTATATATGTACAAACATTTTCTCGTCAAGTTTATTTACATATTTGTTAAAACTTGTTTTGAAACGAACGGCATAAATGCGCAATAGGTCAAGAAAGAAATACGTTTTATTTTTAAAATAATAACTAATCAACAAATTAACCATTCTGCATAATATTATCATAATTTATTCGAGAATAAACCCTCCATTAAATGAAACATAAAATTAAATTTTATTTAATTAAACAAAAATTTTAACTGGAAAAATTGTCTTTTCTTTGTTTTTTAGCAAGTTTCCGTCTGTTTTTCAAATTTTTCAGTTAAAAAAATTTTTTTCTCCAAAGAATGGATGTCAAAGAAGATTTCAGGCCATTATTAATTTTTTCAACAACAATTTCAATTTTTACATTTACATTTATTGCAATAATATTCCCTTTATTATTTATAAACTTGCAACAAAAGAACGCTTATTTAATTGAAAATAGTGTTTTATGCAAGGCAAAAATATTCTTTTAAAATAATAAAAACGTATTTTGTTCCAGACAGACCTTCTTGCTATTCAGGATCGTATTTCACAAAAATATGAATCATCTACTTTAAATCGAAATAAAAGGGAAATAAAAAAGACTCAATATTCATCGCCATATGCTTTAAGGGAAGCTTGTATGTATTGAAATATAAATAAAATTTTAATATAAAATATCCTGTTTATAATAATAAATACCTTAAATATTTTAAACCTAGATTTATTGTTGTAACTTGTAGTGGGGTACAAATGTAATCCAAAAATATTTTTTAATTTAAAGGTTGTAGTTGTCAACAAGGACCCGCTGGACCACCTGGAAAGCAGGGTAAATACGGTAAAGACGGAAAACCTGGAGACGATGGGTTAAATGGTCGCAATGGCGTTAATGGTGTATATATAAAACTGCAACAAACTGAAGAAGATTTTTGTCAAATCTGCCCAGCACCGAATCCTGGACCTCCAGGAACACCTGGAGTAAAGGGAACACTTGGGCCTGCTGGGTATTTTTATAATAGAAAAAAGTTAAAGTGTATATTATTAATATCCCAACCAACCCTTATTTGAGTCTTAGATTAATTTTTCTTTTTTACTATCAATCTTCTTTTTCTCCAAATTTTAGGTTAATGGCAAATTAGAAAGCCTACTTTCTAATTTTGTTTCTTCTAACTAGAGTTGATCAAGACGAGACCGATACCGAGACCGATACCGAGATTCTCGGCTTTTTTCCAATATCGGTCTCGGTTTTTTCATTCTCGGTCTCGAACCCGATACCGATATTCTCGGTTTATTTCTCGGCGAGAAACGATACTGACTCAAAGACCCCAATTTTCTTGTATTTTTTAATAAAACTGAGAATTTTTGACCTTTGGCCTTCTGAATTTCAAAAAATTTTCGCCTGCGGCGCTGAAAAGAGTGAATCCTTCTTTATTTGCCTTACAAAATCCGAGCATTTATCTAAGCCCTCACGATTGAGTTCGCACGACTCTTTTATCTAGCTCAACTGAGTCCCAGTAATTTAATAAAATTAAAAGGCTTAAATACAATACTGGGTTATTTGGAGGGATTTGGGTGTTTATGGGGATATTAATGGATTTGGAGGGATATCGAATGTAAGGCGGTACCAGTATCGTTTTGTCCAACTCTACTTCTAACTTGACTATTACCTATAATGCGTGAAGAAAAGAAAGATTGATAGTAAAAAAGAAAAATTAATCTGAGACTCAAATAAGGGTGGGGAAGGAGATGGGATATTAATAAAATACAAGTTAAAGAAATTTCAAAAATACTTCTTCAAATTTTCAGTACTCCAGGCATTCCTGGACTTTTAGGCGTGGCTGGCACAAAGGGAACACCTGGTCCCGTTGGTCTACCAGGTCCTCCAGGCGATATTGGCATTGCTGGTCCAATTGGGGATTCTGGAAGACTCGTCTTCCTTGCGGCAACTGGTCCTCCAGGTAACTAAAAAACTAAAATATTAAACTAAAAATCTAAAATATTCCCATAGGGCCAGTTGGCAATCCCGGCCCACGAGGCCCTCCTGGAGTAGCGGGATATGATGGGCACCAAGGAGAAGTGGGGTCTATTGGTCTACGAGGATTTCAAGGAGGTAAATTCGTTCAAACAAATTAAAAGACAGAACATTTCCTCAATTTTAGAAAGAGGTCCTCCAGGTCAACCAGGACTTTCAGGCCCTCGAGGCCCCACCGGGCCAATAGGAAAGCAAGGAGAAACAAAATGGATAACCAAATCAACAACCAAAAATATTGAAGATTTAAAGAACACAGTAAAATCAACAACAACATCTCCAATTTTGCGCATTTATGCCTCAAAAACTTTTAAATCGTCGGATAGAAGTACTCCATATTTGCGAAGAAGACGACCTAGAGAATAGATAAAAAAATTTTATTTATTTTATTTAGTAAATTCCCCAAAATAAGATAAAATCACCAATTGTTTTGTATTGCCGAGTAGAGTTTTAATAAACAAATATTTCACGGTGGAAAATCAAATTTTTTTCAAATATGAAATAATTTTTAAATTATTTGATCAAATATTTTATTTTGACGTCTAGCCAACTTTTT